CCTCTTTAAAAAGAAAAAACACAAGTCCACTCTGAAGTCAGCCTCTGTAACCTCCCCACAAGAAAACCGTTTTACATCAGTCACTAACCAAACAACCAACAGTGCTTCAACACAGAAAGTAAAGCATTATCCAGGGCTTGGACTGTCTTTCAAGAAAGCCCCAAATCCCCTGGCAGGAGGAAGTCACAGCAGTGAAGCCCCATCCCAGGCCCAGTTGTTCCCACGAAACACACCACGTGGAGACCCAGCATGACTGCCGACTGATTCCAAGTCCCCAGGAGGGCTTTATTTTTTCTTTTCAACATCCTGTTCTGCGGCTTCCTTGGCTCTTTTTGCCCGTATGCCGAAGAGCCGGGCGTTGGCACGGGCCATACGGAGACTAGCGAAGGCTTTGAAATTCTTCTCTTCCTCAGTGATGACTCGAGCTTTCTCCTTCTTATAGACGTTCCGGACGGGCATGACCGGTCCGGTCAGCTGGGTGGCCAGTTTCAGTTCTTCAGCAGAACTGTCTCCCTTCTTGGGGGCCGAGGGCTTCCTGGGGAAGAGGATGAGTTTGGAGCGGTACTCCTTCAGCCGCTGCACGTTGGTCTGCAGGGACTCCGTGGACTTGTTCCGCCTCCTCGGATCCACAGAAATGCCGATGGTCCGGGCCACCTTCTTGTGAATGCCGGCCACCCTGAGCTCCTCCAGGCTGAAGCCGCGGCCGGCGCGCACCTTCGTGTGGTACCGAACCGTGGGGCAGCGCACGATGGGCCGGATGGGACCCGACGCGGGGCGCGGGGCGATGCGGCGCGCCTTGGCTTGCCGGGCCTTACGTCTGCGGATCTTACGGGCCGGCTGGTTGAACCACGTGGCCACGCGCCGCTGCCAGTCCTTGTGGAAGTGGGGCTTCAAGACCATGCCATTCCGGCTGGGCGCCATGGCTGCCTACGGCCCTGCGGCTGCGGACGAGAGGGGAGCGAGTGAGAGGCCGGACCCCGGGCGCGCGCACCCCCCCGGGCCTCCGCCCCGAACCCTCCAGACTGGGCCGTCCGGCCGCGCCTAGAGCCCGGGCAGCGGCCGAACGCTGTCTGCGAAGAAGAAGGGGCCCATCCACTCCCGCGTTGGCTGAAGCGCCAGGCCGATGGCGCTGGATGATGC